TCATCTGTCCATCATCGTATAAAGCCCGCCCTGACAATTTGATTGGCCCGCCAGATATAGTGCGAGCATACTCGCGCTACTACTGAGCAATGCCAGACCGAACTTCCCGACCTCAAACGTTGTGGGCGGGACTAAGTTCGGAATCGCACCCAGGCTATTGATTTATACCCAAAACTACAGTAACCATAACTAACAGAAGAACAAATTTAATAATTTAATACTGCATAATATGTGTGTGTATATATATATATATATATATGTCTATATATGTCTATATATATATAAAAACATTGTATTTGTGTGTGTTTAATGATCAAAACAATAAATACAAGACGTGTTACAAAATACCCTTTAAGAACAAATTCTGCTTACTTGTAGAAATATAGTAGAAATATAGAATTTATTCAGTCTAATCTAATACATTTCTTTAAAAACTCTAGTTTTGTTAGGAACCTCTATATACTAACTGGTAAACAGGATTTCTATCCTTTAAATCAAGTTGTTAACTTTAATCTTTAGCAAGCATGTGGAGGCAGTGGCTTCACTACTCTGAAGTCAAAGCCAATCAGAAGTTAATATTTGGGCAAAAAAGCCAATTAAAAATATGTATTTAAAAAAAATCTACTCCTTTGCCTTTTAGCCAATTAACTAAAAGAGATTGTGAGATGATCCAATGCAGAGTTCGTCCTCTGAGACGCAGTGCTAAATGCTAACAGGATAACGGCATGTTCACACTCAGAGGTTTGATATGAATAATTACTTTTTAACTGTTAAATAATTATGACATATTGAATGTATATAAACATTTCACAAGAGTTTTGAACATCAGAAAAGTTTTAGAAGATATACGTTGGAAAGTGCTGGTGACGATTCTCAGGCCTCCAGGTCATAGTCATTCTAAAAAAGTAAAACTTAAACGTTTTTGGAATACTTTGGAAAGATATCTATCAGATAAGATTTATTTTCCCTAAACTTTTACATTTTCTCTCTGGAGATCTGAGGGTCTTTCTTAAAGGATTGGTTGATGCTATGTTTCCCAGACATTCTTTGGAACTAGATAACATGAATAAATGCATAATCTTACAATCTGGGAACATATATAATGTATTTCCCCAAACACCAGGATGCAAGTGTAGTGAGTTCTTTCTCTGCGATTTGTTGAATGAATCACATCATCAGAAAAGATAGAAGAGAAATTCAATTTTTATACGAATCAGAAGGTGAGCTGCTCTCTCTGTGCCTCAGTTTGGACCCAGCAGATGGAGGCGGGTGTGAGTTTGGCTCCATGCTGCTTCTGGTCACACCATCCTCCTCCTGTCACAGCCTTGGAGCGGCGCACACACACGCCTGTATCACCTATTTTTACTATTCTGAACAATTGAAACGTTTTATAGCGAACAAAATAACCAACTTTATATTTTCAATGTTAATCCTGATTCTTCCAACGTGGTGATTTTTGGATTCTGACTGATGCCGACCCATTGTGGTCGTATTTGTGATTTGATCAAGACGGATTCGATTCAAATCAAGACTAAAAACACATTGGTTTAGGATTGCCTTCGACTGTTCTAGTTAAAGAGTTCAACTGAAACATCATTAGTTCTTTTTTGTTTCTGCATTTTTTATTTTATTTATTTATTTTTATTCCTACTTGCTTTGATTCAGTTTTATTTATCTATATTTTAATGATGTAAAGCACTTTGCATTGTCTTTGTACTGAACTGTGCTATACAAATAAAGTTGCCTTGCCTTGCCTTGCCTTGTGCTGATCCAGTTTTATTGCTTGAGTTAGGGGAGTGTTGGCTTCATGGTTATAGCAGTGTTCTTGTGCTCTTGGGAGGTTGCAAGTACCCGGTTCAATCCCCACAGCCACTGGCTCCCTAAGCAAGACCCTTAACCCCACACTGCTCCACTGGCACCGCGCAGTGGCAGCCCACTGCTCCCGAAGGGGATGTTCTACATGCAGAGGTGAATTCTCCAGCATGAGATCAAAAGGTCAATTATCATATTATTAGCTAGACAGAAAAGATGTCTGGGATTCACGTTTATGTTTGCTCTGTGATTTAATGCTGATAGGAGAAAACCCAGAATTCTCAGTTGAACGACTCAAATTTTATGAATGTGTGCCGTTGTGCAGCTTTCTGATTGGGTCTGCTTGTGTGAGAAACAAGTTTTTCATCTCTAGAGAAATTAGTATGGAAGAGACATTTCTTTTAGATGTGTTAAAACCAAGCCGCTGCCAAAGCTAAGCAACCTGTGCACTGGTGGTCATAGGATTCTGTGGACCCCCCTCTTCAAAAACAGATGATTTTTAGTTTTCTTTCTATATCTGGAGTTCTTCTCAGCTGGAGCTGAACCTCTCAACAATAGCACTGCTCATTCAGGCTCCACCTTAAATGTGAATCCATCTGATGAAAAGTGAAGAGAACTGCAGCAGTTTTCTGTTCAAACAAGATTTTAAAGCAGAAAGAAATCTGTAGCAGTCTGCCTGGCTGTGTATTTCCTGGAGGGGGCGGCCTGTGGAGCTGGTTGACCCTTGCCTTTTGCATCTCTGCTTCTTTCTGTATCTCTGCTTCCGTCTCCTTGAACCCCAGTCGGCCTCGGCAGATGGCCCATCACACCAAGACTGGTTCTGCTGGAGGTTTCTTCCTGTTAAAAGGGAGTTTTTCCTCTCCACTGTCGCTACAAGCATGCCTTTAAGTCAATGCAATCAGCTGGTTCTCTTTACATAGAAAACTTGGAATCAATTTGACTGCAAGAGATGTGTTGGGAACTATATAAACTGAACTGTAGTAGGGGCAAATATTTTTACTGGGACATGTGCATGACTTATAAGGTTCCAACAAATTTAAAGACTCAAAATTTAAAGACCCTGATGACAAAATTAACTGTTATTAAAAAGTAAATGTGGAAAAAAAACAAGCCGAGGATGGCTTTAGAACAGACTAGATACCGAAGAGGGAAAATCGTTCCTTAGAAGACAGGGATTTCATTTGTTGTGGTCTGCATTTCATGGAGACCCTATTAAATCAAACTAATCAATTAAGTCTACAAAATTTGAGTTGTTTCATAAAAATAAGTTAATATAAGATATATATTTTTTTCTTTTAGATATCAGAATTAGAAATGAAATCATATTTTTCCAGACGTTGAAAGTGATAAAAGCCAGACTTTATACTTTCCCACATCATATAAAACAAGCATGTGAAGCATGTGAAGTCGTCCAATCAGGATTAAGGAACCCTAAAATAAAAGCTTTGCCTATTACCAATTATTTTATCCTCATACTGCTTTTAAAATGTTCATTACAAATAAACAACCCATATTTATGGATGTATGCAAAAATTCTTTATTCACTTTGTTTTTCATACACTTATAATAAATAGACACGGGAAACGGGCTGAAACCTCAGTCCTCTTCCAAGTGCCGTTTCTGCACCTTTTTTTATTTTCCACACCGCAAAGAGATTTTCATAGAATTTACAACAAAATTAAAAAATAAAACAGAAAGAGCTTGACACAAGCTGAATTTTCTGCTACCAGCTGACCAGCCCAGCATTAACCTTCCTATATTACACACACCTCTGAGCTGTGTTCAAGTAGCAAATCCCAGGAAACAAAAATATATATATATAGATATATATATATATTCATATATTTATATGATATTCACAGTTAAACTACTTACACATTTTAGGATCACAAAGTAAATGGGCAGAAAAAGAAGACGTTTCTACAAGAAACAATCTTTCAAAAAGGGAAGTGGAAGCTTTTTCTGTACACAGTGGACCTTTTAAATAAACAACCTTTTAACCATCAGCTCCTTTCACATATCCCTGAAAATATTTAAATATTCAGTCTTTTGCTTAAAAAAAAAGAAAAAAGAAAAATGCATCTTAAAAGTGTTACATTTGTGTGAAGATAAAAAAGTTTTAGTTCTTCTGTACAGCTTCTCATATACAATATGAACATCAGAGGTGAAAAACAAACTGAAATCTGCATTAATCCGACTGAATGAAAAGCTGTAACTGACTTGGTCTTCCAGGGGTGCCTGGTTGAGAAAGATGAGCTCAGTTGCAGCCCCCCTTGAGTGCATTTAGTATTTAATCTTTCCTCTAAATAAACCATAAAGATGAAGAGGCTCCTGCAGACTGAGAACGCCCGGACGTTGTGGAAAAATACTAAAAGATGAAGCCAAAACATCAAATGTCCAAAAAAATGGGGTGAGAACTCCTCATGGTTGCTTGTTAACACTTCAGCAGGTTCCTCGTGGTTAAACACAGACTGTCCAACATTAATTAATTAATTTGGCACTTCAAATTATGAATAATTAACCCCCAGAGCTACAATCTCATTTAGCTTCTTGCTGCTCAGTCAGCTTTCCCATGCAGCTGCATCCTGCTTTCAGCCAGCAGGGGGCAGCACTCCATTCTCGCACCATAGGTTCTCACAGCAGAGCTTTGACTTTCATTCATGCAAACACACATCCACACATAGTGTATCTGAAAAAACGGGCATAAAAACCCCAAAACATTAGAGGAACACGATTAATGCAATTTTTTTTGCAGATAATTGTTAAACTTTTGCATAAACTATGAGGAAGCAGCATGATCTGTCCCCTACAGGAGAGAGAAGCTTTAATACTCCAGATGAACCCTTTCCTGTTGCAGTTTAGTTTGATTTGTTTGCGCACGGCGGGTACCATGGAGCAGCTCCGCTGTTCGTTCACCTGCTGCAAGCATGGACAGTGCGACATCAACCTCAGGCATCTTAAAGTGTTAGTGAGCAGCTGGTCATGTAAGTTTGTTTTTTTTTCCTTGTACCACATGTGGCGTGGGTAAAGCTTATGAGACAAATGAGGGGAGAAAAGTGTAAAACAAAAGGAAACATTTCCTGTAACCAGGACTGGGTGCTGCAGTAATTGTGCAGAAATACTGTCTGAGAGCTGAGATAGGGGGAGAAAAAGTCACACCGACACAAAACGGCAAAAACAGGTTTGTTTGCAGAGCACCGTGAATCGTAAACAATCTAGAGTTTAATGTATGAAGAGTGCATTTCAGGTAGCTTAGCTGAATCCAGGTTAAGTGCCGGCTACTTGTCCTCCTCCACCTGATCAGCTCGTTCTGTGCACAGACCCCGTTAACCGTCGGCGGACGTTAATTGAGCGTCCCCCTGCAGTTCTCTGCCCCGCAAAGACACGGGATCTTCTCGTCCTCAATGGGGAACTTGTAGTCGTACGTGATCTCTTCATTGACGTTGATCGGCTGCCTGGAGTAGATCACGATCTTCTTCTGAGACTCAACTGTGATGACTTTAGCATAACAGTTAGGCTGCAAATAGAAATAAAAGAAAACATTAGCACTTTTTCTATATCTAAATCTGTATTTTTTTTCTTAAGAGGCCGATGCTGCCTTACGTTGCAGCTGTGGTTTATGAAACGAGCAAAGTTGCCACATTTGGTAGCGTCGATGATGGTGTCGTGGTCCACCCGGAACATGTAACTGCTCCCGATGCCCTCCTCTTCATATCGCTTCTCCCGCATGTCGGCAATTACCTGGAGGAGACAGCAAGAAGGCCTTCTTAGATCTCTACATGCCTACAGCTTTGCTATCCGCTCACTTCTGATGTTTTATGGTTGTAATCACAGAGAAACCAGAAGAAGACGTGCCTGAAGAGGACATCTGCTTAAAATGGCTCTATATAAATGAACTGAATTGAATAAAGAAATATTTCAACTGCTAGCTTTTTGTAGCCATCAGTAAGCCTCAAATGAAATTCATTTTACCTCCATTAACAGTTGGTTAAGTGGATTTCAGTAGGTTGTTAGCTGCAGGCTTTTAAACACACTCCACAATAGGGCTGTGTTAAAAAAAATAAAATTCTCCAATTTTGAATCTATTCTCATATTGCATCCTAAATATTGATTCATAAAGTAATTACAAAGTCATTTAATTCAACTGACAGCTCAAAATGTCTTTATTTATTTCAAACAAGGCAGATTAATAAACCTTTTTCCTTCATTTCAATCTACAGAAAGACAACGAAGGAAGAAGATCTGATCGTTTCATTAAAGCCTTATGTTCACAGAGCAATGTGGTTGGAAGATAGAGCCAAACCGTCTCTCACCTGTCTGATGTTCTGCCCAACATACTCGATCACCATTTCATCAGCGGCGATGGGCTCCATGGCGAACAGACCCCAGTCGTGGATGTGGGATTTACAGAACCTAATCTTCTTCTTACGGAACTGCAAGAGAGAAAACCCAATGAAAAAAAACAACCTTCAAAACAAAGCGAGGCGTTGCGCTTATGAACAGTTGAAAAAATGGAATACCTTCAGCTGGTTGAACTTGAGCAGGTCGCTGTCGCATGCGAAAGAGGAGAGCAGACGCCGCTGCTCTGACCGCCGCTCGGACCCAGCTCTGGTAGAGGCATGGACCTGTGCAGGGATGCTCATACCCTGCAGGAGGATTTAATGCCAACAAGCAGCACGTTAGAGGTGAACATCCAGCAACGTTTAAACCTTTAAAATCAATCAGGTGTGTCAATGAGTAAGCCCCGCCCACCTGCGTGTCGACGGGCGGCTCCTCGGACTGCACGCGGGAGCTCTGCAGGTACTTCACTTTGTCCTTCTTGTCGATCTTGTAATATCCCTCGCTTCGCGCGCAGCCCGTCATGTGATCCCTCATGCCGTCGTCTCTCCTTTTCTTCTTCACTCCAGGGATGTGGGTCGGTGCAGAGGAGTCAAGGAGAAACCAGGCCAAACTTCTTAACACTTCATTTAAAAATAAAAGTACCTGGCTTTAACCAGCAGGGGGAGCTGCTCTTAGAATCTCACAATGATTTTCATTGATAAACTTTATGTAGAAGATCAGTAGTAAAGGATATGAGGATGGTTGACCCACAGCGTGTCGTTGAGCCAGTCGTTGCCGTTGTCCTGCTGGAGCATCTTGTCGTACGTGATCTGCAGAAGCCGGATGTCCTCCTCGTCGATGCCTTCATTCCAGATGTCATAAAGGATAGTCATCTCCTTAAACTCAGAGCGCGGGCTGAAATAAGCCCGCGGCGGCGTGGTGACGGGGGACAGGCTGTCCAGGAGAATCTCGTCCCAGCCGCGCCGCGTCTTGCGTGGCAGTTTGGTGACCACGGGTTGCTCGTCTTCGTAAGACGGGTAGCCGTCTTCAGCGGGCAGCAGCGTCTGAGGCTTCACATCTCCTTCCCGGAAGTCCAGACTCACGTGTTTGGGCGATCTGACCGTCGTCAGAGAAAGGTTTTCAAAAGGTGATGCTTGGGGCACGTCTGTGGCCTCGGTTGGCGGCTCATCACCTGCAGACACAGCCGAGGACTTCTTCATTTTAGCTCGCCCTGGTTTCTTTTTCGATGTGGCGTCTGGGATATCTCCCGAGATGCCTGTGGGGAGGTCTTCGGCTACGGCGGCAGAGAGTGCCGTTCCGGCTGCCAGAGGCTGGTTGGTCTGAGCGCTGATCGGGGGCGCCTTAAAAAGCGGCCTCTCGTCGAAGCTCTTCCTGTTCAGCGTCAGAGCTGCAGGTTCGGGGAAGACAGGCGTGAACGTTAAGTCTCTACCCGGAGTACGAGGGACCCCAGCACTGAGGACGGGGGACTGTGAAGGGTAGGAGAAGGGGCTGCCGGGGATGTGAGGTGAGCTGAGCAACAAGCTGCTACCGGTTAGAGGGCCGTCACTGCCGGGGGTGTTGGGAATAGTGTCGGTGCTCTGGGATTTACCCAGACTGCGGCCTCGCTCCATCAGGTCCCTGCCCGGCGTGCGAGGGATGTCCTCGTCTGTGGGGAGTCGGGGTCGCTGAGGAAACTCGGACAGGGGACCAGGAGGAGGATGGAGGAGGGAACAACCTTCTACAGCGGGGTGAGCGGGGAGAGGGAGGTGCATTGAAGACGCGGAGATGGGTTTTGGGGTGGGTAACGGAGCCAGGGAGCAGGGCACCTCCTCAGGCTCGGCTTTACCTTTGGTTTTTATCTCGTCACAGTCAGGGAGGACACCGGTGGGAGTCGGCGGCCGGAGGATTGCTACGTGGTCCTGAGGTTCAAGCTTGACACCAATGGCCGCGACAGAGACATCCTCCTCTTTGACTGTAAGACAAATGATAAAGCATTAGAGGTCCAGGGTTCCTGAGCATTCAGTGAACTAACGGGGGACAAAGACAGACGCTTCATGGATCAACAGAAACAGGACCAGACTGCAGGTTTGACCTGTTAGGCTCTCACCTCGGACACCTTTATGCAAAGTCGGCTTCAGGTCCTCCAGTGTCTCCTCCGGAGGAGGACTGGGTGGTCTGCGGTTAGACTTGCAACTTGACTCCTCCTCAAACTGCCCCACTTGAACAGCGGGAGGAGTTGGTGGTTTGAGATCTTCCTCCCTCTCCTCTTCCTCATCGGAAGACGAAGATGAGGAAGAGGACGAAGTCGAGGAGGTCTCAGCCTCTTCCATCTTGGGTATTACTCCTTTCACATCTTGCTCCTCTTCTTCCTCCTCCGAGCTCATCTCGTACTCGGACTCGGAGCTTTCTCCTGAAGAGTCGGAGCTTTCAGCCGAAGAGTCAGAGCTGGCCTTGGAGGAAGCTGAGCTGTCCGCTTCTGAAAGCGAGAGAGACAAAGACGTCACAAACAGAAAAACAAACAAAAGATGCTCCTCTCAGAAACCTGATGTACCATCGTCAGACGAGTCTGAGGAGCCACTGTCGCTGGATGAATCTCCATCTTTGTCATCGTCCTCCTCATCTGCACTCTCCTAGAACATCAGAGGATGTTATCGCCATCATATCGTTTACACACAATCCTGTCAGATTTTTTGGCAAGGCTTACTTTGCCTGAGGACAGCCTGTCTGGAGCCTTGTCTTCGTCAGCCTCTTCATCGCCGGACAACGATTCCTCCTCCTTCTCCGAGGTGTCCATCTCCTCCTCTCCCTCGCTGTCCAGTTCAAGCGGTCGCGAGGGCCTCCGCTTGGCCAAGGAGCCCTCGCCGTCCATTTTGGAGTCGTCTGATGGAAGGCCAGCTGCGTCCCTGTCTCTCTCTAGAAGACATTTATCAACAAAACAGTCAGCTTCACTGAAAAATTAACCAAAAACCAACATACCTCAGTTATATACTTCAATGCAATTGTTTGGATTGTTTGGAAAGAAAATTAATAGCTTTACATATCTGAAAAATGTCAATTATCTCCGCCCTGCTGGAAGGTGAACCAACTTAAACGGTCTAATGTTTAATACAGCCTGTATTTAGCTCCATCAGCTCCAATCAGACAACCTTTTTCCCCAAAAGGCTCTTAGCAAACCCCCAAATGGACCACCTGCATCTTGCTTTAAACCCTCTTTCTTTATAAGGAGTGAGGACATCTAATAGCATGTCAGACGGATTCTATACTGAGCTGATGCTCTCTGCAGCTCCTCCAGTGTTACCATAGGCCTCCTGGCTGCTTCTCTGATAAATGCTCTCATTTCCCATCTTGTTTGATGGACATGCATCTCTTGCAGGATGAGATATTTTGTATTTTTCTTTGACCTTTCTGCCGTGTTCCTTGTTCTTGTCTGCCTCCTAATCTTCTCTAACCCGAGCTGTCAGGCCTTCACAGAACAGCTGGTTTCTGCACTAAGCTGCTGAAGCAATTAACTGCCCTGTACTTTAAACATAATGCATCCTTCTTGCTTTTATAAAATCCCAAATGAATTCCGGTAAAGTTTGTTGCTCTGACATGACAACATGAGGAAACTTATTACAGCTCAGGATTACCTTCATCCTCCAGCTCGTCGTCTGCTGGGGTGGCCGGTCTGGCTCGTTTATTCTCACCTCCCGCTGTCGCATCAGGTGGGTCCTTCCTTTTAACCTGAGTACGATACTGAAGTATTCAGCAAACAGACCAGGACTTTTATTCCAATCTAAATGAAAGGCAGCTTCACAGGTCCTCACCTTAAAGGATGGCAAACGGATGGCTCCTCGTAAACCCATTCCCAGACCCATTCCCTCATAGCCAAGTGCTTCTCCTTTATTCCAGTTCTCCAACAGACTGGAAGCTATCGTCTCTTTAGGTTTGGGTCGCTCTTCGTCTTTACTCTCAGTACCTTTTACTGGAGTCAAAGACGCCTGGAGAAAAGAAAAAAGAAGCTTTTATTTCTAGAAAAAAAACAAAAAACAATCGCCTTGTGGAATAAGTCAAAATTAGCATTTTTTTTTTATTAATTTGAACACAGAAACCAAAGAGAGAAATAAAACTCAGAAAGGTTGATTTACTAAAGAAGGGAATGTTGTTGACTAAGTTGTAATCAATCTAAAGTGGTTTTAAAGTCATTTGCATTCTTGCGAGAAAAAAAAAGCTGAAAGTCAGAGCAGATGGATGATTTCTACTTATTGTCTCCCTGACAGAAACCATGCAATTAATTCAAAGTTTTTTGCAAACTGGACCGCAGGGAGGGAAATCAGCAGCAACCTCAGAGAAAGCCCATCATCTGTATGAACGTTTGGGACTTTTACAGCATGTTCAGAAACATCACTCCTCTTTTTTCCCCTATTTACCTTTGCTGAATGCTCCTTCTTATCCCACCACTCGTCGAAGGCCCTAAAAGCCACCACCTCCACCATTTTGCGGTTGAGGTCCCTCTTCATGATGGCCTTCAGCTCCTTGACGATAACCAGGAGCACACCGTCGACGGTGGCTTTGTGTGGATCCTCTTTCTTAGACTCATACCCCGGAGGAGGAACGGTTGGGTTGAACATTGGTAAACTAGGATGGTGCCACTGGGGTTCCATTGCGCCTGTGCTGCAAGCAGGGGTGGCCTCCATAGAAAGAGGCGGGTAGAGCCCCCCGAAGGGGCCGGACACGCTGTCCATGTACTGTGGGTACGGATAGTGCCCCCTCGTCTGAGTCATGCGGCTCAGCATCTGCTGCTGCATCTGAAAGGACATGGGCACCGTGCTGCACCTCTCCCACGGCATGCAGTTCATGAGACCCATCATCTGGATCATGCTGGGAGGGTAGTGACCCATGGGTTGCAAAATATGGTGAGGCACTCCAGGGGGGCCGGGTAGGTGAGCGGCGTGCCCCATCAGGAGGGGGTGAGGGATGGTGTAGCTGCCTTGGTGCTGCAAGTGATGGTAGCTGCCGGGATGCATGGACATGGTGTGCATGGGGGACATTGCTGAATTGACCACGATCCCCTTGTCTCCGCTGGTGATGGAAGCTCCTGGCATCTCGTCGTCAGAGATTTCCATGTCTTCTCCTGACGACTGATGAGCCTGGGTGAGAGGGGGACAACGGGTCAGCTGCCTGCCTTTCATGTTTCTGAGGAAATGACACTAATCTGTAAGGTCCTTTATATCAGGGCTAAACAAGCACCTTTAATAGATGGATGATGTTACAAACTTTTAGAGAAATTATAAATTAAGATTAAAACAACAAGAAGTTGAGGTCTGATACATTTTAAGTCAGCATCAAATCTCTCAGAATGGGAGCTACCAATAATCTGGGCTCTACTCCGAGTTCAAAGTTTAGTATACCCATTAGCTCAGTCAAACAGAGCTGACCTGTGGATTTGGTCAGCGTGGCTCCAAACAGAGCAGACTAGTCCTTACATACCGACACAAGCACAGTGAAGAAACAGCTTTTAATATAAACACATTTAATGACAGCTCAGGTAAAAACCCTTAAGATAAATTCATCAAATTAACTATAAGATAAACCTGAAATATTTAGAGGAATCCAGTGGATTTTAATGCAAGGATTAGTGCAGGAAAAAAACTAATGAAACAGAATAATCGTTTAATAAAAATCCTCTGTGACAAAACGTATTGTTACTCCTAACAAACCCGTTATAAGAGAAATAAAAGTATTTTTAATGTATCCTTTATTTATTTTTATTTTTATATACCTTTTTAACTGCAAAGTTTCTCAGAACTTTCTAGCTAAAATCCACAACCTACTGTTTCCCTGGGGATTGAATATAATGTGACACAGAGGTCTACTTCTACATCTGCATCTAAAGTGGTTGATTTAGATCCACATCATGCATGACGTGGACTTTATTTCCAAACATGTGCTTTGGTCAGATCAAACTAGGAGCCTTTTGCCAGGCGAGTCAGGTGCAATCAAAGGATAAATATATAGAGGGAAAAAGCCCCTCATCTCAGCATGGTGGAGGAGCTGTGATGCTGTGGAGTTGGATACTGTGAAACTTGTTAAAGTGCAAAAACTGTTGTAGAATGCCTAGAAATACAAATCTGGTGATCTGTAGTGCAAGACTGAAAATCTATTATTTGATATTTTAAAAGGCTAATGATGCATAAAATTTGGCCAAATTAAACCCAGAAATGTTATGCAGAAGCAAAAAAAAAAAAAAAGATAATAATAAAGATCAAGCTTCTTAATGTCTAAAGAACTAACTGCAACAGGAAACCTATGGAAGAAAGGAGAGAACAAGAGAGGACCTCGAACTCTGGGTGATCTAGATAGACTGTGAAAATAGGGTCAAAGATTCCTCTCTCCCTATATGCTCCAACCTTGTAAAGACTAATTACTGCCTGTTTACGCAGAAATGGGAGTTTTATGAAATACTATAAGCTACAATAACTGCAGCACCAGCGTAACTGCTTATACATAAATGCCTCAGTATAAGATTAAGATACTGCATTAAAAAAAATGCAAAACATTTTACACATTAGTTTAAAATTCATGTCTCAATAATAGATTCTTCAATAATCGATCCATCATAAGTCGCTACAGAAACGACAGCCTGCTGACTCCACTCGTCAGGAGAATGGCGTTGCTACACAAATGTCTTGTTTGCACTGTTTGCTTTGTGATAACTTGAAATATGAGACCAGAGACGTAATCCCGGCTGTCAGTCTTGGCTACAACCAGGAAGTTAGAGGCTGAATGGGGCTAACAGCCAAACAGTGCTTTCAGTGGGGAGAGTGTTAGAAAGAGGAAACAAGACGCTTTGTTCTCTTAACTGCAGCGCAACTCTTTTTTCTCCCTTCAAAACATAGTGAAGTTGACTAATTTAACCTGGCTGGCCCCAAAAGCTTGATAAATGTGAGGGTATTTGCAGGGATAGGGATCTGAACCTTTTTGCTGTTAGCAGTGCTGAAATTTTTGGATACAGTTGCTTCTTGCGGAGATGCAGTTAACCCTTCTGCCACGAAACGTGCCGTGAAACCAGAATTTCCTTCACAAGGCACAACAAAAACAATGACACAAAGACTTTACAACTAAAGCCTCACACTGAAACGAGACCTGACTTCCTGTGTCCCTGTTTAACTGCCATTCACACCTGCACACGTACATGCCAGCCCTGCACTGCTATCACCAAGTCAAAGACTTATAATAAGTGCGGTTGTTTCTGTCACCACCTGCGCGCCATTTCTTGCAAAATGTGCCATGTGGTTCGTCTTGTGCACCCCGTGTCTGTTGTCTTACCGTGTCCATTTTCTCAGTGGGAGTGTGGACCCGAAAGGCTCCGTCTTTCAGGTCATTTTTGCCCATCTTCTCGTGGACGGGGGAGCCCGTTCTCCTGATTAAAGAAGCGGTTCCGGGAATTGGCTCTTCATCGTCCGAGTCTGGCAGTGGGGTTGGGCTGATGTCCTCCAAGCCCGTACTGGAGGGCCGAGAGATCTGCTGGCCGCCCTGAGAGCCGCCCATGAAAGGTGGGATCGGGGACATCTGGGAGGAAGAGGAGGAAATGGGGCTGCCCTCCATTCGCACCTCGTTGTCCGAGTCCCGCTCCTCCAGGAACGGCAGCAGCTTTGTCCTTTTTTCCTTCAGGAGCATCTCGATGCGAGAGTCCAGGCTGTTGCGCTCAGGGTCCAGCGCCGGAGAGCCGGGAGAGGGGCAGTGCTCGGGCGTTTCAGGAGGAGGAGGGGTGGTGGGTTGGGGTACTGGTTCTGGTGGCGGCTCTGGGATGGGAGGGGTTTCCGGCCTCTCCTTGACATTCAAGGTGTCCGTGGCAGCCGTCAGTGGCGGCTGCGGCGGCCGGATGTACTCGCTCTCCCTCTGGGCTTGGTGATGGTAGGGCGACTCTGATGGGGCAAACGCAGGCGGCAAAGCAGCTGGGTAGGGCGAGAATGCGGACTTAAAGTTCGGCGTAGCCGGGAGAGGCGCTGTGTAGTTATAGGAAGGGGTTGAAGGCGGAGGCTCGGGTGGCGTCAGCTGTTGCTGCTTGAAAGTAGCTTGATCGGACGGCGTACCCCGATACATGTTGCTGCGGTACTGAGGCCTCTCCGGCCGGCGGTTGTACGCGTCTTGGAACTTGCTCTCATGGCGGCGATGCTTGTAGCCCCCGGAGCTCTCGGGACGGCTCGACTGATACGCCGGCGTGGACTGCCGGCTAGAGTAACTGGAGTCCTGAGAGAAGGGTGTACCCGGCTGGCGTGGGGTGTGAGGGGTTCCCTGGGACTGGGGGGTGTCCTGCCTTATACTAGAGTAGCCCGTCTCCAGGCTCAGGGGGGTGGTCGAGCTGCTGGGTGGTAATCCTGCTCCTATGGAGGACATGCTGCCCTCCGACAGCCTGCGAATGGGCTCACAGGCCTTAAAAAACAGACAAAAAAGTTTCATTAGCAAAAATTTACAGTGATTTAAGAAAAAAATGAGTTAAATCATATGAACAAGAAGCATTCCTGTCAAGAGAGGACCTGAAAATGGCTTGTGGCTACAGGCATCTAGGTTAGAAGCAGACAAAACTCTTTACTATAAGGCCCTTTTAGCAACTTTGAGATTTCACACTAGAACCAAGGGTCAGGGGGACATCCCTTTACAGGCTGACTTCCAATCGCACCGCCAACATCAATTACATTTAAAGGCCCTCTTAGATTTAACTAGATAACATCGGCTAGAATAAGCATCAATCCATGCCACCCCTCTAAAGTAACCATACAAACACCATTATCAACATGATTTTTTTGGATTAATTTCTCTTTTACCATTAATGCCTCTGCAAGGCTCCGAGGCGAGACTTCCCTGGCCTCCTCCCCACCGACAGGCAGCGTCCGCGGTGTGTAGCTGCCATTCATCAGGAGCTGGAAGTACCTGAGGCGATTCTCACCTGCAGAGCAATAAAAAAATAAAAAATGAGTGAGTAAAGGGTGATCAGGAACTCTTTAAGAAGGAAAAACCTTTTTTCTCCTGTGGTAATTGAGACATTGAATAGCATGCTAGCTGTGAATCAGGAGCACTGCAAACTACACAGATCATCTGAACTTTAAAAGCAATGCATGCATTTCAAATAAATTTAATGCTGATTAATATACTGATATAAAAAAATAAAAACAAACACACAAAGTACATACCCGGTGCACAAATGAACAAAGGCGTACAAAAGTTGCAAATGATTCTTATGCAATAAAACCAGGCTACTTTAAAAACATTTCCCATTAAAGCTGTGATAAAATATGCAAAAATACTCAAAACAAAAAAGATTTCATATGATGCATTACTATAAAACGCATTGCAGACTGCTTTTGAAAGACACGTGAACTTTAAATCACAAAAAGAATATTTCCAATGAGATGACAAGTGCATCCATTGAAATGAGCAGAGGTGGAGGAAACTGACAGATTGGTAGTGTTTGTTTTCAGGTGGAAAATTATGCACAGTGGGAATATAACAGACCCCCAGCTCTGGGACTTATGGGACTGGGCTGATTTTCAATGAAATTCAATTACCCCATGTTACCAAGCAACACATGTACATGTAAACACATGACAACTGTCATTCTGTTCATTCAAAACAAACAGACACATAAAGCTACTTTTTCAGATCCATGCTCATGCATCTTACAGCTGATCCTACTCTGCCTAAACGCAGCCTCCTCCTCCTCCCCCCGAAAGGCTTCTTTTGAATGAATGAATCACTGTTTACCTTTCGGGTCCAACTCCACGTGGATAATGTTTCCCATCACAGATGTGTTGTGCAGCGACTGAACTGCAACCTTGGCAGATTTCACGTTCTCAAAAACCACTTTAGCTATTCCCAAGTGCTTTTTATTCTTCGGGTTGTACAGGATCTCCACCTCCTCGATCTCTCCGTATTTTTTGCACATGTCCGTGAGAAATCCCTCCCTGATGTTGTCGTTCAGCCGTGCAAACGTCACCTCCTTTGGAGGCACGGGGCCGACATAGAACTCATCGATCTGGGAAGAGGAGTGACAGGGGTTACGGTAAGGAGGGCGGTTAAGTTTAATGGTGCACCATGTGGGGGGTCATTTCTGCCATGTGAGATAAGCATAGAAGTGCAGCATAGATGCCTTAAAGCATCTATGAAATAAGAGCTTCTGCACACCCCCAGATCTCCATAAATCAGGCATCACCTGTTGGTTTTTAAAATGTAAGAATCAAGTTGCCCTTTTTAGCTTTAGAGCAGATGCTTTAAAACCAGACAACAAAAGGAAAAAGGGGCTCTGGAGGAAGTTTGACATGAAGCAAACTGTAAAGGTTAAAAGAACTGGACCAAAGCACCCCTGGTCTGCAGCGATCCGGAGAATTAATAGTGGTAAAAACAGCAAAAATGGTTAGTTGATACACTGGCGAGCAGAGAAATGACTGCTGGGTCAGACAGAAAGCTGTCAGAATGCATAATGCATCACAGTACAAGTCAGGATGCCCATGATGGTCATATTTGACTGCCTGATTGGTGTGTACTCCCAAAGATGACAGAGAGGGGGGTGTGTCTGCAACTTCTGACAGCAACTCTTCTCTTCAAGCTGCAGCAATGTGGCATTGTAATCCCATCGGTAGATACCTTGAATTTAGGCACCGGTAGGTCCGTTTCTTTGTATTTTGTCCAGAGGCGTCCGATTCTGGGGTCCCTGACAAGATCCACGGGTGGAATCCCAGGGTTCTGTTGGGGATAATAATGATTAGTCAGGATTACACAAAATTAACTTGTTGCAAAGTAGTTCTGCAGAAAAAAGGAGAAGAATTTGAGTATTAGTTGGTAAAGCAGGTGTTGGGAGATGTAAAGGGGGGAACTGCATCATGGAGGTCGACTCCTCGGTTACTATTGTAGCCTTTTGGCCACATCAGAGGCGGTTCTTACGGGCATGCTGAAAGTCTGCCCATCGTAGCGGTAGAGTTTGTGGGATCCCTTCTTGAGCGCCGGGTCGATGATCAACTTGTAACTTCTGCAGTGGTGACTCCGCTTCTCTGCCGAGCCGCAGACGGGATGACTGTCCATGCCGTTCGCCAAACCTGAAACGGCAGCCAGCGACGGGGAGAGAGGAGAGCTAGCGTTATCGGGAGCCAGGAGACCAAACAACCCCTCCTTTAACTTTAAAAAAAAAAAAAAAAAACAGCCCAGCGATATATGCACCGAGGTTGGGAAACGAAAATTGGATGAAGCGTGTATCCCACTTACGGAAAAAACAGGCATTAGGAGAACCAGAGAAAGAGGGGAAAAAGAACAAGCTTACTTGAACTCTGCTTTCTGCCATGGTCTTCGTTCAATCTGTTCCTCTCCGGCGGCTTGGACATGGTTCGTCCGATCGAGTGTTTTCTTTTAAATACACACAAAAAAATGAAATCGCTTTGCTTTCGCCGTTTACATTACATGATTTCGCTTCAAGAATACTGCCTCCTTTTCGGCGAGAGCCAGCACATATTGTGTGTGTGTGTGTGCGCCTCTGGTCTCTCTGCTGTCTCTCCCACAATACACTAGGCTTGCCCACTTTTTGCGCTCGACGCACTTTCGCTACAAAGTTGGTTAATTAATTTCATAAACCCAACTAAAAAAACGATTACGATAACATTTCGAAACGCATAAATTCATCAACATAATTACAACCTACTGGAAATAAAAACCTAAAGATAATCAAGTGTGTCTGCACCGTCAAATAATAGTGTCGAATCTGCTGATTGGGTTTACTTAAACGGCAAACACAAGCTGAACTCAGAGGGCAATATCTTCTTAACTGCTTTGGGAAGCTAATAAAGCTGTTTCGGGCACGAAATGAGCACCATATAGACAAATCGGTGCTTTTATGAAAAATAACTATAAAAATAATAAAAGTGGTGTCTTCACAGACCCATTTGGAGTCCCGCGTTGCATTTACGTAAATTTAACACGACTTTAAAGGGAAATTTGTTGAGCTAGCAGCTGAATTCTACGCTTCATTTAACGTTTGTGTCTAATGGAATGCGGGGGTTTGTTTTTTTCCCCCCTTTTTAGCAGTTGACACTTAACAAACTAATCCAAACAGCCACATGTGACTCGTCAAAGTATTTGAATTCACATGTATTTCCTCTTCTTCAGATTTATATATATATATATTATCGTGTTGTCGAGCAAACTAGGTTTTGTTTGACATTGCCTGTTGTTTTGCAGTGCTCGGGCAATTGGCTGGTTAACAGCGACAGCTCGGCGGGCCAATCAGAGCCCAGCAGCGGTGGAGCTGCCTGCTATTAGAGGCAACGGCTCACGAGTCCTTCAACAGAGAGAGAGCAGAGAGAGGGGGCTGAGTGAGCTCTCTCGGCAGCCATTTTCCTTAAAACAGGACTCAATGGCCTATATGGGTTTCCTTTGTTCCAAAAAGGGATCTTTACACTTGGTTTCCTCATCTCTTTACGGACTATGATAAAACGTATGTTTGCTCCTTTTAAAGGATTGGGAAGATTGGAAGAGAATATAGCTACTGGATGTAATACCCTGTGACATTTTGAGCCTTTTTTTTTTATTTTTCTTGGAATCCATCTTTGTCTTAACTAGGTCATGGCACACCCATATAATATGTGTAGATGTTAAGTAAAAAGAAACCAAATGTGAATAAACTGTTTTATGAGTTAAAAAGATGTTGAATTAGACATGAAAACAGTTGATATTCATGTATGGCCTTTTAAGAAGTGACTAGCTATAAGTAAGTTTAATTTTTATGATGCAACATTCTGATTGTTGAACATTGTTTCCTTTATGGCATGCAGTAACTATTAAAGTTTCATATGTAATCACTGACTTTTGAAAGTGGTGTAAAAGGAGGCCACGAATAACAAATATCCTTTTCAACAATTTTTTGTGTGATTTTAATATTTTATTGTGTTTTATTAATTGTAAACATTTATTTCCTCTTATAAACAGCAACATGGCTCGTCTTGTTCCCTGACCTGCAACGGTGGAAACAACCAGAACCACGTTTAAGTTCGAGTCGTCCACTCGCCATTTCTGAGACAAACGCGTCCACAGTGTATACGACGGTCTGACCTTGCCTCAAGGGTATATCTGAATATATATATACATAGAAGCATATTCAGATAGACAACTTTGTGTAGTATTTAAAAGCACAATCAATCAAAAAATCTAATAGGAAACCGATGGAGGAAAAAAAAATCTCTCATGGTGAAAATATTTACCTCAACACTTTGGTGAAAAGCAGTTAACAGGCCTAAACGCAGGGACAGGAGGAAAGTTTTCAGCCCCATCTTCGGATCCTCTAATAATGGCTTTAATAAGGGGTGGGAATGCGTCTCCTGGAAAGGAAGGGATTCCATTAGCACGACAGATCTTTTTTAAAAAGTCATTTTTCCCCCCCCTCTCATCACTGGCAAGCATACCCCATCTGACAGCCAGCGAATGTGCATCTCCAAGCATCATCTGTGTGGGCAATATATGCAAAACCAACTCTTCTCTTCCTCAAGACAGGATTGCAGTCGAGTATAACCTCGTCCATTTTCGACATTTCTAACTGAGCTACAACATTTAAACCTACAAGGATGTTATTAAAAAAGGTAACTGATTTTTTCTTAGCTATTTACACCTAATTTTCCTGAACGTAGACTTAAAAACCTGGAAAAAAAAATCTGCTTCAATCCATATTTTATTGTGATTATAGCAAACTTACAGTTATTTAAAACCCTTACACGAGCCCCCCTCCCCAAAAAAAAAAAAAAAAAAAAAAAAATATGGGAAGGATATCTTGTGTTTTTTCACATCCAAATGCACTTTAAGGCGGTTAGGTTTCTCTTTCTCAGTTCTGTCTCAAAATGGCTTCTTTACAGACAAAAGGGAAGCACTGTGCTGTGAAATGTTGCTGCGCCATAACTGGGTGAGGCTCAGCATTACGCCCTTATTTTCACCGAACGCCTCCTTCGATATTTTCCGGCTCTTAAAACATAACATAAAGGCCGGTAGCGAGGATGGTTACCAACATAATGTATGACTGGGGAAAAAAAAGAAGAAAAAAAAAGGGTAATGGTGGACAGTCCTTGTGTGGGGGAGAAACAAGTTCATGAAGGCGGACTCAGGCGGACAGTTGCTAGGCTGATTTGTAATCTGAGAGCTCTGTCTGGATGGTTGCCATGGAGCTCGAGCAGAACCACCCCTCCCCCCTCCCTACACAATGCCATATAAGGTCATTGGGAATCCGCTGCGGCAAGCCCCAGTTTGTGTTCTAACTAGGTGAAGGGTGCTTCTAGGCAGAAACCGGTTGGATCAACAAACGCCACAGACAGTGCGAACAAATAACATCGGATTCTTACTGTTAACTTCGAGGAAAGAGTTAAATTATAGGTGGGAGGGTCTGTGTTCGTGTTCGCAAAGGAGAAAGGGGGGTCGTAGATTTGAAGAGTAATGTTTTTTTCAATGCGAAGGAGTTGCCTGCAAGACAAATAATAGGGCATAGAAACCCGGCTGCAGGTCAGAGGCCTTCATTTCATTTAGCAGGACTCTTATGTTAGAGGGAATGAAAATTTGATTTTTGCGTTAAAACCCATAAGTGAAGGCACTTCTAGGCTTTTATTTTCAAGAGAGAAAAAAAATCCCAGTGGGCAGCGCCGCTCAGTTTTATCTCACCGCTGACAGACTGGAATTTTCCACTCAGGGGATTGGCCTCTCTTCCACAGGACAGCTGTCTCTCTCTCTTTCTCTCTCTGCTCGGCGACAAATATTTCAAGAATTGTTCTCTGTTTATTGATAAAGGGTTGTGTGCGTGTGGACACTCTATAGGACACATTTGCAGGCTGCCTTTTTGATGTGAAGCTTCGAGTTTCACTCTGTAAGTCAAACAAGCACGTTTTATTGTTTATTGGACATTATATATTCTCACACCTCAAAGTGGGATAGTGATTTGCTCGTTTAAAGCTGTTAAACATATACTGAATAGGTACTGAAAGGTCAAATTTATGTAAATGTATTTTTAAATTTATTATGGTATTGTATTTATTCTAAAAACAATGGTTTCTCTTTTTGGTGGCTCTACAATTAAATGCTGTTTTTTTTTAAACCCTATAGTTTTGCTTGTAGGTCTATAAGATGTTGTATGACGTTTTAAATAAAAGATTGTACTCTAGCCTATTGGGTTTGTGCTATTTTTATTATCTGTAAAAGATTTTCAGGCCTATGCTTAAAAAACTGCACCATTCACATGATTACACACATTTGCAGGGAAGATACCAAATATAGGTGGACATTTCTTAATTAATAGTTAACAAATGATTAATAAGATAATTATTGAATATATACAGAGGTAGCTTTCTAAATGAGATGCCTTTCTAACATTAATTTCAAAATGTGGCTCTACAGCCTTCCTTGGGTTTAGTTTTAATGCCTCCCATGTTAGGAAAAAAAAGCTGCTTGGTTACAGAACATTTTGTTATGTTCTGATGAATGCTTTACTCCCTGTGATTTTACTCTAGTGGCAAGCAGATTGTGGTATTCTGCAATCCTTAAACATCAAAAAGTACATTTAATCTTTATGCCACTGCTGATTAAAAAGCCCTGAGATGCTTCATGAATAAGGGTTAAATAATGTTCATACCTCCTGTGCATTCATGCCTCCTTAATCCGAGGTAGATAGATCATGTCTTAGGGTTTAGTTGTGTTATAGCACATATATAACCCATGCTTGGAAATCATAGACTGAGGTTATTCAATATGCATCGAATTGATGTCTCATTTTTACCTTTTTTCGAATTCTCGACTCTGGGTTGGAATATCATTTCTAAATGTTAATCCTTCATGAAGATCAAGTCTTTTCAAATACCTCATAGAGATACGAGATCTAGGTTTCTTTTAGTGTTTCGCTTGACTTGAAGCATATTTTTGCAGCAGCCTGACTTGTATCTAAGGCGGTTTTAAGATCAGGGAGATGATAAGGTTGCCTTTCAAACTCAAAAGACTTTAAGCCGTTCACTAGGGCTGCAGCTAACAATTATTTTTTCTTAATCGAATAATATTTTGATTTTTTTTTTGTATTAATCTTATAGTAAAAGTTCCTTAAAGAAGATTTTTTTGCAGAAATAAACCAGGTTTCACAACCTTTTTCACTTGAGGAATGCTGGATAGAGAATATTGACAAACAAAAGTTTTTTTAAATCTTAGATTGCAAAATATATATATATATTTTTTACAATTTACGTATAAATTCTTGAAGTGGGTGGGTCTGTCAGCTAAAAGCAGCATGTTTTAGAGTCTCTATAATCCAGTTAATAGTTTATTATTAAATTTGTTGACGATTATTTTGAATAACTGGTTGTTTCAGCCCTAATGTTCACCAAATTGAAATGTTTAATGTACCAACTCAGACATTCAAAGAGTTGATCCAGTTTAGCAGGTTGGAAATAATAGTTTTAAACAAGGTTTCTTTTCCTCCTTTAATGTTCCAACTCTCTCTCTTCTAATTGTTGAAAGAAAAAGTCCTCTTGGTTTAATTAAAATACATTTACATCTAAATTTGCCAGGGATTTTCTATAATTTTCAACTAAAGTGTACAGATAAAGACACTCATGAACCAAACAAAAATACATTTATGCTTCTTAGCTTAGATGAATTCCATCTTTTGTTGATAACAATCATCCTCCCGAAATAGACTTTGCTGTTTACCTGCAAAACCAGTGTTTATTAGGAAGTTAGTTGAAATTTACTAGAAAACAGATATTCAGGACACAACACAAATTATTTTATAATATGCATGCTTACAAAATCCCACCTACAGAATTTTAAGCAATCATTTTTAGTCTATTTCTTCTTTGTATACAAATATAAGGTATTCAACATGTCTTCATAGAAAGCAAAGTTTGTTAGCACAAATTAGATCAATAAAGCTTTCTCTGATGTATTTAGGTGCTATCACCCCTCCTTGCACATCTACAATCAGTGGAGGCAGTCCCTCAGTTTAACTACACACCCACAGGATGAAATGAGCAGTAGAGGAAGTAGGAGTAGCCAGTCTTAGCAGCTATACATGTGCAGTTGGGCTGCAGGCTTTCTGCAGCTCTCTGGTGAGCACGCCTGATGATGGGGCAGAAGCGTAGGGGGGTACAGTTGGAAACGGCGTCATGTTGACAGGAAGAGGAAGTGGTAAGCTGTTTGAACTACATGGTAAACCATGAGACCTGTCTGTTCCTGTCTCTACATGATCTCAGCCCGGGTCCAAATGTAGATTTAACTGGTTTTACAAAATCTCTCACTAAAAATCTGGAAGGAGCATCTTCAACCTTCTACACTGTGGCACCTATTTGACCAATTCAAAGGACTAGAAAAAAACTAAAGAATGACACAAAACGGTGCCGGATCAGGCAGCAGTACCAAAAGAAAGACAGAAGAACTTAAAATTGTGATTGTGGGAGATGGAGGCTGTGGGAAAACATCTCTTCTGATGGTTTATGCCAAAGGTGATTTTCCAGAGGTAAGACATGCTGAGACTTTATTATACAAAAATTACTTTTAGCTAATAAAGTGAAATGATGAAAAAGAAAAAAACATTCATAAAAAAGATCTTCTTATGTTTCTTAATAGAAATATGCTCCATCAGTGTTTGAAAAGTATGTCACATCCATCTCTCTCGGAGGAAAAGAGATTCAGCTCAACCTGTATGACACAGCCGGTAAGAGAAACATCACTTCCTGGTTGATACAGAAAATTCATCCACTTTTTGACCACAAAGCTCCAAATAAAAAATAAAAAAAGGGCAACAAGGATTAGAACGTCTTGAACTCAGAGGTCACACACCATGCTGATAAACTGACTATTCACTATACGAGTCATCAAGCAGATTTTAACGGAAAGGGTTAAACACTCAAGTTCTCCTTGTTTTAAGAACATGAACTTCTGGCCGCTGAATTTTTAAGGTAATGAGAAATGTTGTGAAAGTTGAAAAGGTAGATGTTTATGTTAGAGCATCGTTCTTTCCCAGGAACTGAAAGGTTTAGCCGCTGACGAGCTCATGAAGGGCCACATTTCAAAAATAACTAAAGAGAAAACCCCTGAATTTAATTAACTAAAAAGGAAGCTCTCTAAGAAACACTGCTGGTGAACCAAGCTGATTCTGTTTTAGGAATATTTAGTTTTGAATGATTTCTATTTGAATTTTGTTGCCAAAGATCAGAAAAAGGACCTTAATTTGAGCTTCAGTATAATTTTTCTTTACTGGATTTAATCAGCAAACATTTCATACTTATTCTCCAAAATAAAGGCGGTATATTTTCCAAGCAATTGTGTTATATGAAGGCTGGTTTTTACACAAAATCCTGTAGTAGTCATATATGGAGAAGGATATTAATATTTTCATTATAGAAAAGTCATGACAGTTTGTGCTGGCACTCATCTTCTGTCAGCGTCTGTAGAGACAGAAGCTTTATTCAGGATGTGGTTTTATTTCTTTACCCGCAGCCTTTTCACATTGATCACATCAGGGCCTTTATTTTAAAGGGGAGAATGTTGTTTAGTTCTACTGTATGTTAATATTTATAACTACTTCTCTAAAGCTATATCATTTCCTCCATAACGTTCCCTTTGTTCCTCCAGGACAAGATGACTATGATCGACTCAGGCCACTTTCATACCAAGAGGCTAATCTGATTTTAGTGTGCTTTGATGTCACCAACCCCACCAGCTTTGAGAACGTCCGGATCAAGGTACACACCTCTGGCACGCATTGTTTCAAACTCTTACTGGAACAATGAAATGGATGCTGATTTTCTGGTTTGGTTTGCTAATGATTAACAGTGAGCTGCATTCTTCTTGCTGTGATTAACTCATGAACCTAAAGCGTTTACACAGCCATACAGACTGTTTAGTGATGCAAAAACAAACTCTGGCTTTCAGTACTGACAGATTTTCATATCTCATCTTCATCTAGTGGCACCCAGAGGTGAAGCACTTCTGTCGAGACATACCAGTAATCCTAATCGGCTGTAAAACTGACCTCAGGAAGGATAAAGAGTGTGCGAGGAAGCTGAAGGCCATGAATCTGGATCCCATCACTTACACACAGGTACATATTCTGCATTCTGATCTATGAAGCAGAACTGTTTCAACGAGGTTACAGGAGGCACACTGCGATGAGAAAGAGGAAGCAGCCGAACCAAACAGATAACCACACTTATCTCAACCGTGTCCCAATTGCTCAATATTATTTCAAATGTCATGCATGGGATTGGTCTTACAGTGCACGTCTTGGTTTGTTTGGTGGCGCAGGGTGAAGACACGCGGCAGGAGATGAACGCAGAGCTCTACCTCGAGTGCTCGGCCAAATATCAGGAGAACGTGGAGGATGTTTTCAGGGAGGCGACGAGAAGAGCGCTGGCCTTTCAGAAAAAACAGAGGAACCACAAGAGGAAGAAGAAATGTGTTGTTCTGTGAAGATAAAGACTTTCAGGATCCCACTCTCTCGCAGGCGAATGTTAGAGGATCATGTTATATTTAGTGCATTTGGACACTGAGATGCTAAATATACTTTGCATCGAACACAATGAGGGGGAAAAAAAGCTGATATGAAGATTTTTGTTTACAGATTACCATGCTTGGTTAGTAATCCTCCTCAGTGCAACAAAAATGACAACCGGCGCAACAGGAAAGGCAATTTTGCAAGATGAAGAGATATTTTCTGAAGTAGCAAACAAAACAAAAAAAATAATATTTGGTACTTTTAAAGTATGCAGAAGCATTTTTTTCCTAACAGTATTTTTATTTTTACTGAAACTGAGGATTATTTATTAAGTGAAAATTATTCAGTTCTTGCTGACATTAGTAAACAACACATTCCTAGACAGAATAGTTAGGTCTCATCATGGTACTGTAGCTTTAAAGCAGCTCTGGTTAGCTCCCAGCATGACTGAATCAATCAGGATCTTTAAATTTACCAACAGCGCCCACCAGAGGCAGAAAATGGAAAAGCACGTTTAATGTCAGCCCTGTCAACCCAACAAAGGTCAATATTCATAAATAAATGAATGAAACTTTTGCATATTTGTGTTTAATGAAGCAGATTTACTTTGTTTACAACATACACAGGTTAAAGAAAGTGGCAATTGCCCTCCGCTACTGACCTCACACTGTGAACCCATTTGAAACAAACAGTCGCTTTATGAAACAGATTGTTTTGTGCAGTATGGCAGCTCTAACATTAAATGTAACCATTTGATCTCCAACAAGCTTCACATTCCCCTGAATAAAAACAAAAAGGACTCATAAGGGCAGCCATTCTCTAAAGGATATCAAGTTTTGTCAAGGGAACTAACACTGGCATTTTCTAAACGGTGAACGTTGTCAAGGATAAGGCAAGAGATTAAGAGAAGTTTACAGTGAATTATTTGATCAAATTAAAATCTTGGTGTACCGATATGCTTATAACAAACTGTAAAAAAAACAACAGCTGACTTAATCAGAGTAGCAGCAGCGTTTGATCGCATGTAACAAAACGGTAACAAAACATCTGAAAACTTTTCAGACTTAAACGGTGGATTTTTCTAACTTCTTTATAATTTGATCAATTAACCTAAAGTTTCTTAATTCTTAAAAAAACAAGAGATTAAGACCATCAGTCAGATGTTTGTTCTTTTTTCTTATTTAAATGTTAAGACATAACGGAAGGTGGTTATATGAAAAAATATATTTCTGGTAAGAAATATTTAAGGAATTCCCATGCTACATTTTATTTGCACCTCTTTCACTGGTTGGTCTGAAGAGATTTTGTTTTTAACAAATGTCAAATATTCTTATTGTGGAAGCATTTTGACAAAAAAATAAAAAATAACAGACTTCTCCTGACTATTTAGAGCAAAGTACCCCCATTGGAACCTCCCCCTTTAACTGTTAAGGTCCGTTGAGTTCAGCAAAATGCTTTCAGTAAGTTACTAAAGTATGTATTGGTTAACTGTAAAGTGGCTTGATGGTAAGTTTAAACATAAAAAAAGAATATATGAGCCTTCAGCACTTTAACCATCACTACTTCACAGAAGTATGCAGGTGATTCTCGTTCAGGTGATGAAAGACGTTCTGTTCTATTACGTGTCCTTGCATAATAATTTGAGCAGAGATGCTCTGAAATTCATGCACAAATCCACAGAAACGCATCATTTCTACTATGAACAGATAGTGGTGTCTTGTTAGGTGGTCATCTGCGCCGTTTTACAGCAACATCAAGTTACTGGAAAGTAAGAACCTTCCAGCTGGATGCTTTGAGCTGCTGATGCTGTCGTCAGAGATCAGCTTCTGCTCTTCCACTCTCAGTCGTTGGTTATGGTAGGTCGGTTTAGTGATTGTGCGTGTTTGACTCATGATTACTGGATTTATTTTTCCTCTCAGTCCCTTTACTTAAATGTCTTTCTCCTTCTTTTGAACTTTTTGATGGACGACTTTTAACGTTGTGAGAAAGTTTCCCAGGAAGAGGACTAGGAAGGTCAGTGCAAGCATAAATACCTGAAAGCAAGAAGAGAAGGTGTATTTTAATAATAAAAAAAAAAAAAAAAAAGTAATAATTGTACAGACACCAAAGCTATGGGAATTAAAAAAAATCTAACTTATTACAGTTTACAAAAAGCATCCAACATGCAAACATTTAAATAGAAATACCCTCCAACTATTAATGCTGGTAATAGTTAGTAGTTAATAGTTAATAAAAAAAACCAAATTGTTTTCTCTCAGTTTCTAAACCTTTTTGCATCACTTGCATTGAAAGTGCAGCAATAAACACAGGAATAAAGTGGCGTTAAGATATAGAAGTGATTTTTCAATAATTTATCTGCATTATATACAGGTCGACCTTTTTTTTCCTACACTGAACATAGTGGCAAAACTTGACCCTGTTTTCTAGCCAGTGTTATGACTATTTCACAGTTACATTTCTTTAAAATACACTTTATATTGTGTTAAAAAAAAATAAAGAAATGAGATGCTCGACTCTCATGTCCCATTAATGTCCAGACAGTGTTAAACCAAATATGAGATCAGTAGAGTCATTGATTAAACTCAACTTCTGCCCATTAATTTATCCCCTGTAATTTTTTCCCCACTGTGCATCCATAAGATATTTTAAAATAATCACAAAGGGAACCAATACATAAATAAATTAAGGTAATACATTTAATTAGCCAGAATGTAGTGCAGCTACAAACTGCATTTTATAATCTAACCCATCAGTATTTGCAGCCTGTAAACTGTATAAATATTCTGCTGATTTAACAAATATGCGTAAAATCTAACATCAGGTGTTTTTGACGCTTTACAATGACGTAACAGAGAAAAGGAGGCAGTGCTTGCTGATTCATACACCGTTCTGTCCATTCTTTGTTCTGCTGTGTTGCTGATGTCATCATTTTAGGATTAATAAGCAGCTGAAAGACTTAATAAAATGTTAGAATTAGAAAATAATCAACCAAAAGGAACACGAGTTTACAAAAGGCTGTATATGTTTTTTTTAATTATTATTATTATTATCTAATGGTGCAGCTCTGCATGTCTGCAATCCTTATGGTTGTTTACCTAACCTGGTTAACCCTGCCAACAGCAAATAGAGGCAGAACCTTTGAATCAAATGCAGTCACTTACATAAAAAAAAAAGAGAAGAAAAAAAAGAGAGAGAACATGGAAAAAACAGAAACATCTGCCTTTGAAATTAAGCTTAACACACAGTTATTATTCCCATTTCTCCCCTTTGAATGACTGCATCCATCAACCTGAGCCTCACCTGCCATTCCCTACAGTCGGCATGTCTTGCCAAACGAAACAGGGTCACAGAGTTGTACAGCTGCCAAAACTGCAGACAGAAGAAGTGTCGTCTTTTATATCGACTTGCACAATGAAAGTGTCCTAAGCAGACTTCATTTGAACTTTGCATTTCAAAACCCGCCTCATAACAAACCAGGTTACCAAATGCAAAATGTGTCATGCCATAAAGTAGTAAATTACCTACAAGAATATGACTTGTTTGACTTACGTGGCCAAAGAACAGAAAAGGCAAAAGGAAAGTGAGTCCTCTCCACATCCACGACTGAAATCCCTCTGCAAAAACAGACATAACTGTAACCTTATCCAGAGAGATCAGTGCATCGCTTCTTTAGGTTTTCTGTACAGAGATGTTATCAGAGAGGGCTCTAAAATGCCTCGCTTTGGTATCCCTGACATCTGTAGGTCAACAGCTGTCTCCATTCTTCACCTTTAGCCCAGTTTTTCTAGACAAGCAGCTGCAGATGGCTCAAGTGTTCAAACGATTGAAATGACTGGAACCAAAAATAGTGCCCGACTCACCCACTGTGAGGTCAAGCTGGTTTCTCTCTCCCAAGGCGCGCAGCCTGTATAAGCAGCCGCTCTGGTAGTAATACTGGAGGAACTGAACAAAGCCTGAAACGGCAATAACATTACTGGATTACAACAGAGACACAAAATGAATAGACAGGATAGAGAAAATATTAAAAAGGATTAAAAGAAGCTTTTAAACCCTGAAATTATGAACAGGAATTATTTAAATTCAGTATTTTTCAAAAACATGATCCATCACCTGAGTCTGCTTATGCTGCTATGATTATACTGATTGGTGTGCAATCCATTTTGTTCTTCAGGTTTAAAAGCAGAGATTATTTAATCCCTGAAGGACACATTTACTGCTGTTACTTGCTTTGGACAATCACAGGAGAAGAAACAATAAATCGGTGAACATAAGGTCTGATTTTGAGCTTTGGTCAGGCTTGTTCTGGTCAAACAAATTAGTTTTGATCTGTTTTTGTTCCTAAAGTTCTTCAGAATTTGAGCAATAAAAATGTGAAACAAGTTCCTAGTTTTTGATGCATAAAAAAAAAAAACAACCCCAAAAAAACAGAACAAAATCCTTTTCCTCATCTATTTTATTTGTTAACTGCCATCAGAGCTGATCAGGAATAAAGAAGAAAAATAATTAACTGATCTCCATTGGGGAAGACCTGAAGGTCAATTTGATGGCCAGGCACTCCGTTTTAAGATTTTCTACTAAACAGAATCCATGGTACCATGGTAGTGCAAAGCCATCCAGGTCCTGGCACAGTAGAGGAAGCCACTTATCACCATGCGTGACGAGTCAAGAGGTTCATTTTCTAGGAAGCCGTGTTACTGTTAAGCTAAACGTAACAGAATGCAGACCCTCCTAATAATAATACTACATTTTATTTCAAGCACCTTTAAAAACACTCAAGGACACTCTACAGGTAAAAAACAATAAGAGATAAAAAGCAACATCTTATAGCTAAAAGAAACAAAAACTACACACAGGAAAGTAAAAAAAAAAAATGAAAATGCCATCTTAAACGGATGAGTTTTGTGTTTTGATCGCATATGTCAGGGGGGAGTGAATTCCAGAGTGTGGGTGCAGACCGAGAAAAAGCTCTGCTCCTCATGTTCTTAAGATGGGAGGAATGAACAACAAGATGAATATCAGAGGAAAATCTAAGTATGCGAGAGGGAGTTAAAATTTGAGGTAAATCAGAGAGATAGGGAGGGAAAAGATTGAGCCAGGAAATAACTTTGAACCAGTGGAGCTGCTGCAGGACTGGGGTGATGTGATGAAAAGAAGGGGTTCTAGAAATGATGCGAGCTGCTGAGTTTTGGACTGCCTGAAGCTTGTTTAAGGATTTTTGAGGTAGACCAAAAAGAAAATCTTTAACAGAAATTGATGCGGGAAGTAAAAAGACTATGGACATAGAGTTCATAGGCTTGTTCACTTCTAAATGATCCACTTTTCTATTATAACATCCTCCCCAAAATTTGTAGGGTATTCAAACAGTTTTCTGAGAAATGTAAGATCGCCCTTAATCCTCATTTTCATCAGCAATGTTTTCAAAATAGAAGAGTGGTCAATGAGCTTTTGCTGTAGTTTTTGTAACCATTTACTTCAGGGAGCTCACTGTTCGAAAACTTCAGAAATGGCTTTCTACTCCAAAATAAAATTAAAAAGAAAGAAACTGCAATTTTACGTCTTTTTTTAATCTAATAAGATATTTTTTGTCTAAATAAGAGCTCTTGCTGAAAGCTACATTTTCACTCAAATGTGAACCAACTTTTCAGCTACACAGACATGCAACATGAGTAGAAAGTTAGAAGTGACAGAAAGCCTATTATGCCTCTTTTAAAGAGGAAACAGCTGCTGCCTGGATAAGAGACCAGAAGGCTTACTCTGATAAATGGAGAAGGCAAGGAACTGGCTTCGAAACATCTGATACATTTGTCCCTCAGGCCTGTGAGAAGAAAAACAAACATGCTGTAAATGTAATTGTGTTTACCTTTGTGTGTTATTTATTAAAATGTTTAATAGGTCTCTTACCAGGTAAGCATAACACCTGATAGAAAAGTGGAGACATAATGGTGCAACACCCACCAGCCTTTGATCCTAAAGTAGGAAGGGAAAAGAAAGAAAATGGAGATCAAAGCTTTAATATTTTTAAACCCAAAAATGAAGGAATATTTCTGAAATAAGTGTTAAAGTCCACCTGGAGCCATTGCTGATGAGAATGCTTTCCCTTATTGTCAAAGTGCAGTAGTACCACACCAGCAAAAAGTTGAAGATCTCATCTGTGACTCTGAAGGTTAAATTAAACAAAAATATTTAAGAAAGCTTTGATTATAAGACTAATCCTTTAAAAGAACCTGGTAACTTACCGATAGTTAAGAAAAAAGAGGCAGGTTATGGCTCCAAACATCAGGATTATCGTCATGTAAAGCTTAAACTTCTCATACTCATCTTTGTAGGCAAATCTATATAAATGAAACAAGGATGATGAGATTGTATTACTCCATTTTATTAAACCATCTTATTAAAAGTTTTTCCCATACTTTGCCTGATTACTGAGAAGCGTCACGTTCACATTTCCCAGAACCAAACTCAGGTACAGACTGAAAAGCAAAAAGAAAAACGGTTATCAATTTTCCTTCTGTCTTCATTAGAAACAGGTCAGTTCACTTCCATGGACCTCATATCACCACCTGTCTAAACAAAAGCATAAATACAAGAACAAAAAAATGTACATACCCATTCTTCTTTGGCAAATAGGCTTCCATATCAAAGAAAACATTCTCTTTCTCTTTGATCTGCGATTTGATTTCTGTAATTAGTTTCAGCTGATTTTCATCACATGTCGGCGCACACCTGTAAAGAGAACAAACGTCTATAAACAGGAATATTTAAGAATTTTTGGGTAAGGCTAATAAACCAGATAACATTTATCCATTCTAGTGACGGGGATCAGAATGTCCCCACAAAAGTATCCATATTGTGTGAACCAACCTCAAAGTTTTATAAAGGTGGAAATTGGGAAAGATTTTTGATTTGCAAAGTATTTTGATATGAATTGAATTCGATGGAGTCTTGACACAGATATTCAACTGGAATTAGGTGTGGACTTTGACTAGGCCAATCCAGAAAATGAAAATGCTTTACTATAAACTACAGTGCTGCTTCTGGCTTTACTTTTACCGCCCTGCTCAACTTTGAACCTCTGACCCACTCTACAGTCTTTGACAGTCTCTAATAGTGTTTTTCTTTTCCAACAAGAAAGTGTAAACATGTATAAATTATTATTTGCAAGGCACACTTTAGTCCAGGGAAATTATTAAATGACCCATAATATTTTAATGCTAAAAAAAATAAAGGAAATTTTCAAAAAAGTACGAACAGTACTCACTTTTTCAAACTATGCCTCAGGTCTTTCAGGCATTTTCTTTGTTTGCTGATGGAGCTGCTGCACGTCACCTGAAGATTGGTGAGCTCTTCTAGTTTGTGTCTGTATATTTTATGGGTTTCCTGGAGATCAAATAAGCGGAAACATGAATCAAATTAGACACTTCTATGGATGTCAAAGCCCTAACCTTATTCAGAAGTAAAAAGAAATTGTCAGAAGGGAACACTTTACAATCTGAAATGTAATTAGAGCCTTGTCAGGGCAAAAAACTGCGACTGACACCATGACTCTGCATTAAGCACATTTATGCAAGCAGACAACATCAACTTGTATTATTATAACCTTGACAAAAAGGAAGAATGTTTCAAATCCCAAGATGGATTTATTACAACCCTCATGCTTATATTTAGATACTATAAACACCTTACTGTGACATACAGCATAATATCTTATTTTAAAGGGGGAAGCGGGACTAACACTTCCACTGTTTACTCTGCAAACAAAACATGGGAGAGCTGCCAAGGACACCATTACCTATTATTTTTTCCAGATAAACCACATGCACGTTCTATGTGCAATACAAGCACACGAGGATTACATTTGCATTGCCTTTGCCTTGTATCATATGACGGCTTCCTCAAATTAAAGCTGTTTATGTGCACATGACCAATTTAAAGACAGCATCCCACCTCAGGTTAGCCAGGAGTTTTAAACCATTGAATGACCGGCTGACTGCAAAGGAAGTGGTGTGATTAAAAACAGGCAAGGAGTGCAGATGTGAGGTTCATGCGATAGTGTCTGTAAAACTGTTAACAGAAACTGTAAAAGTTTAAATTTGACAATGGTCACACTGTGGCAACAATAGCTTTGAAACAAAATTGTAGTAAAATTGAAATAAAGCAGTAACGTTTCATTAGAAGGTTCATCCTGCAAAACTGATAAGATGTTGACAGTTTAGCAAAAAACAGAGGGGACATAACTTATCACGTGATACCAAGATGATTTATTTACATCATTGTAAGACATGATCATAGTGGATTGAATAGTAAGCACAATTAATGAGCAAGAAACTTAAGCATCTTTCCTTCATGTTGAGTCATCTTCGATTTTCTTAATGCGTTTTTTCTGCTGATGATGTACCCAAACAAGTTTCAAGACTACATTAGAGACACGGACGCATCTTAGCAGTAAGCATTAGGGTTGTCAAAACTATTGATTATCAAAAAAGCATCAAACCTAAAACATATCCGGATACGATACTCATTTTCAAAAGTATCAAAACCACTGAAAAGTGTTATTTCCTCTCTTGAAGTCACAGAATGAAGCAGACCTGCATCCAAACACCATCGAATATAGCTAACTCTACCATCTGTGTTTGACCAACATTGGAAATATGAAGCCAAGTCCCCAGAAGCTATGAAAATAAACAGCTGTGGCAGAGTATATATGGATGTTAGTTTTAACTGTGGAGATACCAGGGTTCCAACAACTTATTAAGCAGCTAAACCCAAGATATGCTCTTCCCTCCCAGAATACAGCATTTATTTGTTTGTAAACTGGTTTAGCTAGTGTCTTTATGTGTGTAAAGCATAGCCAAGGAAGGAACACTTAATTTTATTTTTTTAAATCAAGCTTTCTTAATATTGTGCACAGCATACAACCTAAAATATTTATTGTTTATTGTATTTATTTATTAATAAAAAAAATTCCTTTACATTTTGGGGTCTTTGTTTTTATCCTTGTGGTATTGAAAATGGTATCGAGTATCGAATATTTTCCTGAGTATCTGTATCGAGTTAAACATTTTTGTATGGTGACAAACCTAGTAAGCATTAATTTGGAAAAATCCTGAACAGCTGAACATCAAAATCTTTAACTGTACTTAAAGAGTAGCTCTAGATTTCCGGGTTTTAATCCACTTCAGATCCACCTTTAAGGTAACTTTGATGATGCCCATCAGCTGATCATGTTTTTTCACAAGTTAGCCAACTATAGCCAAGATAGGCTAGCTTGGTAACTATTGACAGAGGGATGGAGTTGGTGTTTATTAGTTGATCAAAGCAAAAATATAAGAACAAAAAATAAATAAATAAACAAACAATACACAACCTTTGCGTAACTTTTAAGGGTTAAATGTTTTAGCTGCCATTTAGCTACGAGGAAAACTGTCAAGTAACCTGCTGCTAATGCTAGCCGCTACAGCACAAGGATATAACACTAGATGAAGCAAAAAAATATAAAAACTGGTGGGTGCGAACAGCTCATTGCTTAGTTTGAACTGGATACAGCGGTAGCGAAGGCTAAATGTAGCGTTTAAGTGTGAGCTGAGAATGAATGGCGAGCAGCGAAGGAGCAAAGTACCCGCTGCGGTGTCTGTCAGTGACATCCATGACACACTGAGCGCGTGAAGAAAAAGACACCGGTTAAAAGCGAGACTAGTCACCTGTAATTGTTGATATTCCTTTTCGATTTCCTCCCATTCTGTCTGAAAAGTGGCTTTGGACATGGTGGTTAAACAGGAATGTGACGGGAAGGAGACACATCCACTACGACTGGCTTGTTTTCAGGCAGAGTGGACTCTGTGGTCTGCTCCTAGGAACCGACTGGCTCTTCTCTTTAATTGTGATACAGTGCGCATGCGCACACCCCGACGGTTAAATGAAGCGTTTGTAGCTGAACCGCAGATTCCGCTCAAAGTGAGCACACACTTCCGTTTTGTTTTTTTATATAATCAAATAATACATTAATAATACATTAATTAAATAATACATTATATAATCAGTATATAATGACTTCCTTTATGTTTTTCACGTATATATGTGATCAACCAATCACAGCGCATTTCCCCGTTGCCATGATACAACAAACACAACTGGACTTTTAATACGGAAGTCATAAAGATAACTTTTTTTGTTTTTGTTTTTTCGGAATCTAAAAGGTCTTAAATTAAATTTGCATTGTGCGCTTGAATACATACCAAGGTAACATTTTCTATGTAGTAATTTATGTTGTATTTTAAAGTATCTATTCCTATTTATTCCTCATTTCCATATTTCTTCCTCTCGATTTCTTGGCAATTGAAAGGAATAACTACATTTTTTTTATTTATGTTTGTGCCATAACATTTTTGCTTTAGGTAGAAAATCAAGCTTTATATAAAAACACATGGGGGATACATATAACTATGCCTAAACCTTTTTGCTTAATTTTTGGTTTGGGCATTGATTCCAAAATTATAACTTAATCAAATTTGAAAATGGACAAAACTAACTATTTCGGTTTTTAATGTTTTTTGTTACGCATGTGGTTAATTTGTTATATAGAAATATTTGTATTCCAATAGTTTGGGCCCTGAGTCGATTGGTAGCATTTCCTAAACAGTTTGGGAACCTCTGGGATAGAGTTCTCTTTGTTTGTGTCTATCTTTTAAACTAAAACAAACCCTTCCAGCTTTAGAAATTCATTCAGAACACACAATTGTGATGGAGATAATATTATGAAATGTTCTTTTTCATAATAATAATAATGATGATAATTAACAATAGAATTCACTTACTGATTATATTTCTGCAAATTAAATCTCAATATAATTGCTGAAGAAAACCAATGTTTTAGAAAAACAAAGTACTTTCCTCACACTTTTTTTCTGGTGAGAGTCAGAAAAAGTTATTAGCAATTTCCACATCAGTTAAGTATTTTTGAACTAAAAAATCGTCACAGTAAGTTTGTAGAAAAGCAAGTAAATTCCCAGAGTAGTGAAGGTTGACAGGCAGTTTTTTTACTCTTTTATGCAGATTTAGCCATTTAAAACAACTCTCATTAAAAATGTTCACCTCAAAGAGATAATAGGATACTTTTTACAAGAGAGTATTAAATAGGTTGTTTGATCTTTTTCTTATCAGTAGAGATTTCATGTTCCTGAACCAAAGATACATTAGCTGAAGCTGCCGACTTATCAATCCACCTCATCAGCAGTGATTCCTCTGTCCATTCTACATGAGCATAAGGTGGAAATAAACATTTGGATTTTACATCCACCTTCCATGTTTTCGGACACAAAACAAAACAAAACAAAAAATAAGTGTTTATGCAGCCAAAAATCTGTTCTTTGTTAAGGTTTTGTTTCAAAATGATCACCATCAACTACTTGGAACAGATTCCCAGGTGGATTGAACATGTCGGAGGTTGAGACAACTTGAGAGAAAACTGCAATAACTTTAATAAATACATTTGCATGTCTGGGGATGGGAGTAATTACCTGTGGGAATTTCAATTTAAATAAATTTGTCTACTTAAGAAAACTAAAACCAAAAATAGTTTGTCTCCTTTCAAATGAGCCAAATATTTAACTTGCATCCATAGTTTTAAATTTGCTCTTTGTAGAGTAATAGGCTTCAAATTCCTTCAGATTTGTCATCTTGCCATTTCTACCTGGTGTTACCACTTGATCTTGAAGGTTTTTGAAAAGAACTGCCCTCTGTAGTAAAAAAAAAAAAAAAATGCACATGCACAACCCTGTACCCGCTCCTTAGAGAAAACGCCTATTAAACTGTTTAAAATTTGCTGTTTGCAATGCTCATACAAGCTTACTTTCAAAAAGAAGATTTGCAATTTTTCAACTATACCTTTAATACTTCTTCCTGTCACAGGCTTTCCATTACACTCCCTCACAGTCATGCCGTTTTTTAAGCCGCAGACAAAAAGTCTCCCAGCGTCAGTGCTAAAGGACTTGAAAACGCAGAAGACTGGACTGCGCCACACAGTTTACAGTGTCTGTGGAAATAATTACACTGGAGAGTGGCTGGAGAACAAGAAGCATGGTTAGATAATATTCCTTGTTAACCTTAACTAACCTCAATAGTTTGTTAATGCCTAATATTAAACCAGATGCTTAGGGAGCAAGAATGGTCATAACTTTTGAAAAAAACAATTCAAGGTAAGGGAATTCAAGTTTGGAAGAAAACTGGGGCCCTTTATGATGGAGAGTGGAAATATGGAAAACGTGACGGTTATGGCACCTACAGCGTACAAGTCCCAGGATCAAAGGAGTACACCATGAAGTATAGCGGCGAATGGAAAAATGGAAAGAAGCATGTATGCAATATAAAATATATGACTGTTGGTTTGTACAGTTTGTGCTTTTTTTGTTTTTTTATTTTTTTTACTTTTTAGGGGTTTGGGAAATACTTCTACAACAGCTCCACAATCTATGAAGGGGAGTGGAATGAGGACCAACGCAGCGGCTTGGGAAGCATGTACTACGAAAATGGAGACATGTA